GTTGGTATAAAAGGGGCAAATGAAATAAAACATGAACTTCTTTTTAAGTCTACAGATTTTCTAAAAATACAAATGTGTGAGAACTTCAGTCTTTCGAAGTCACCAACGGTTATTTGATATTAGATATTTATAATATGTACTAGGATATTTTAAAAAATCCATTCTGTTTTTTTGAGATTTAATTTTTATTTTTCCAATTCAGATGGCTATTTAAAGATGGATCCAAGCACAGTTCAAACATACAGGATACTTGGTTTCAGTGGTTTCTTGAATCACACCTAAAATCCAAGGAAAGTGAGTTTGAGAGTTCTGTATTTAACAAAAGACAATCAGCACCATCTAGTGGATACACATAACCTCTTTTTTTGAATTCAGTCCAGTGAGGAGGCAAAGAGAGCAGGCTTTGGAATTGGGTTGGAAATTCAGTACCAGTTGGTTCCTGAGTGACCTCAGAAAAATTACTCAACCTCTCTGTGCTCCGCTTCTCAACTATAAATCTGCATAATAATAGTGCCGCTTCATAGGATGTTATGAAGTGAAGTGAGATGATACATCTAAGGCATGTCCCAAACACTCAGTAAATGTTATTTTTTAATAACGCTAAGCCATAGACTCGCGGGACATGGGAGCTGTCCAGTGGCATACATTTTTAACTGCCCTCCAAAATAAATGGCTATTTAGCTAGCTTGTAGAATCTATACTATGAGACGTAATGAGTTCTGCTCCTAGTGTGCTGTCACATTTGGCTGAAGCTTATGGTAAGAAAAGGGGAATTGGGGCAACAGAGCTGGAATGGTAGTTGGGGCCCAGATGGAATACAATGTGGGCTCTCTCTCATTCATTCGAATCTGACTCCACTTAGCAGGGGAAGGTCAAGGGTAGAGAGAGATTTAAAACAAAAACCAACTCTGAAACCAAGACTGCCATATGTCACCAACCTGGAATGAGACCAGGGACATTTTAACGTAAAGTATCTTGACTCTGGAAGAAATCTTTATGAATTATTTTGAAAGGCACAATACTTTCTAGAATATGTTTGGGCTTTTTGAACACAACAAAACAGCAGAGAAAAATACTGCACTCTGACAGATCTGAATATGAATTATTTGGAGGGTGTCACCTGCAACAGTGGACACTGAAGTATTTCAGGAAATTAAAAACAAAAACAAAGTGTATTGTGTGCTAATACACAACAAATACAATTTGTTTAAAACTTGCCCTCAAGGCACATACAGCCTCTGGCAGTTCACAAGAGGTAACAGCAGGAGGTAAACAAAGTGGGAATGACAGAAAACAAGATGAGTTTCTGCAGAGTGACTTCCTTGGAAGGCAGCTATGCTCACCACTATACCACCAAGGCAAGTGACTTCCTTGGGCACTTAGGTTTGGTAAGACTACAGTGAAGAGACACTAAGTTTCTATTCTATTGAACCTGATTTTTCTTTTCACTTGCTTTTTATGTATCTTCTGTTGTATATATTTTAAGAGCAACAGTTTAAAAAAAAATGAAAGGCACAGGTCAGAGCCTTGATTTCTCTTCGTTGGTTTTCTCTCCCCACATCCCCAAGAAATCTGAAATATGTTATTTCCTTAATAAGCACCATTAGTCACCAAAAATAAAAATGGAAAGAGTGGCCTTTATTCATGGAATATTAGAATTGTGTGGCATTTGGAGTTTATCTATTGTCTAGCTACTCCAAGAGTGGTCGGTGGACCGGAAGCATTGGCATCACCTGGGAGCCTGTTAGAATCCTGGAGCCTTCACCTGACACACTGAATCAGCATTTTAACAAGAGCCCCAGTTGATTTATTTGCACATTAAAGTTTGAGAAGCCCCAGAATTTCAGGTTCATTGGCTCTTGGATACAGCCCTAGGATCAGTAATTCATGAAATCTCCCCAGGTGATTCTAATGCAGTAGACTTAAGAACTGCAAAACTAGTCCAACCACATTTCTCAAATGAGGAAACGATGGCCTACAAAAGTTTACAGATTTACCCAGGATAACCCAGCTATTTAGTATCAGAATCCAAACAATGTCTTCTCCTCTCCTTATTTAAAAAAAAAGCAGAGTCAAGGGAACAGAGCATAAGGAGTGTGGAGGCGGAGATTACTATTATTATTATTTTTAATTTTCTTTTTTTTTTTTAGGGGGGAGGTGGGGTGGGTCAGAGAGAGAATCTTAAACAGGCTCCGTGCCCAGCGCGGAGCCTGACACGGAGCTTGATCCCACAACCCTGAGATCACGACCTGAGCCGAAATCAAGAGTCAGATGCTTAACCAAATGAGCCAGCCAGGCGCCCCCGGGGATTATTATTTTGATATAGGGTGGTCAGGAAAGACCCACCTGAGGAAGCAGACACCTGAGGGAAGAGAGGAAGTGAGTCATAGGGATAGTAGGGTAACTGTATTCCCGGCAGAGGAAGCAGAGGGCTGGTGTGTGTGTGTGTGTGTGTGTTTTCCTCCAAGAGTATTCCATCTTGGAGGAACAACAAGGAGTATTTCCAAATTCCCAACATAGTAATCTTTGGGACGCAGAAATGAGAAATCAAAGCTGCCCGCAGTTCTCAAAACCTTAAGTTATTCTTAAAATATTTTCAGCCTTCTTCATATTTTTGTTATCGTGCTATCTGAATTATTTTTTTAAAAAGATTTTATTTATTTGAGAGAGAGAGAGCGAGCCTGGGGGAAGGGGCAGAGGGAGAGAGAATCCTGAAGCAGACTCTATGCTGAGCATGGAGCCCGACTTGGGGCTCGACCTCACAACCTGAACCAAATCGATCATGACCTGAACCAAAACCAAAGAGTCGGATGCTGAACTGACTGAGCCACCCAGGGGCCCCCTGAATCATCTTTTAAAAGCATTTGTAGGTGATGCTCGCTTCGGCAGCACATATACTAAAAGCATTTGTAGGTGTTTACAAGAACTGTAGCCTTTAGCAAATATTTCAAATACTGGAGAACACAGAGAACGTCATTGGATACCATTTGAATAGGGTAACATACAAATTTTCAAGCAAGGCTAACAGCACTTCACCGAATCACAGGTGGGAAATTGCCAATTTAAGGACTTATTTTTGAGTCAAAACTTACTATTTCTTGGAACACCACTCATAGAGTTTGTATAAAGTATACAGTGAGGATCAACTTGTTAATATTTATTTTATTTGCAAGAATGACTCACCGTTAGCGGCGGCCATGGCCAGGAAAACACACTTAGAACATGGCACCAGCTCCCAGCAAGACCGACCAATCTGACTGTGACTGCATCTCTCCCATGTGCTCCAATCCATGTTTCCAGAATGTTGCCCTCAACTTCTGACACAGCGAAAGCTTTTGCTTTCGACTTGACATCAGTGGATTTCTTCAGTAACATCTTTATGTTGATTGATAAAGTTTAATTCTCATAGGAGGATTAGAATACCTTTTCCATTTTTCCTGATTTCTCAACTATTTTTTTTTAAAAATTTAGAAACACACAAATTTCCTGATCAGTGCTGGGAAGAAATTCCTGTGCAGAAACACTAACAAGGAGGACAGTGAGGCTGGAGCAAAGTTTACCCAAGAGAGGGTGGTAGGACTAGAGTCTGAGAGTAAACAGAGGGCCTGGTCCTTTAGGATCTGTGGGCATTGTAAGGGCTCTGCAGGGTACGGGCAACCATGGAGAGTCCTGAGCAGAGGAGTGACATGGTTTGACTTCAGTTTGAAGGCATCATTCAGGCTGCTGTTTGAAAGTAGTAGGGGCAAGGAAGGCAACAATGAGGAAGGAGGTTGTTGCCAAAATCTAGGTGAGAGATGATGGCAGTATGGACCAGAAGGGAAGCATGGAAGGTGCTAAGAGGTAGTTAGATTCTGGGTATGTTTTAAATGTAAAGCTGATAGGATTTATAACAAATTGATTGTAGACCGTGAGGGGAAGAGGAATTGAGGACAACTTCAAGGTTCTTGGTCTGAGTCTGGCAGGATGGAGTTACCATTTACTGAGATAGATAAGGGGGTGGGGTGGGAGTGGGGGTGACTGTGGAGAGGTTTGTTTTTTGACATGTTTCAAGATGCTTCTTACATCTAAGTAGAGACTTCTCAATAGTCGGTCAAATAAAAGTGGAGTTCAGGGGAGAAGTCTGGGTTGGAGATCGAAACACAGGATTTAGCAGTATATGGATGGCATTTACAGCCAGGATTTTAAACCCAGTTTTTATTTTTTATTTATTTATTTTTTAAAAAAGATTTTATTTATTTATTTGACAGAGAGAGACACAGCGAGAGAGGGAACACAAGCAGGGGGAGTGGAAGAGGGAGAAGCAGGCTTCCTGCTGAGCAGGGAGCCCGATGTGGGGCTCGATCCCAGGACCCTGGGACCATGACCTGAGCCGAAGGCAGACGCTTAACGACTGAGCCACCCAGGCGCCCTAAACCCAGTTTTTAAACCACTACCCTAGATTGTAGCTGTGGTTCCCCGAGCAACTCATTTCCCCTTTGTCTTTTTATTTCACTGAAAAACACTTAAAGAATACATATCTTATCTACCTAACATAATGAGGCTAAAGGGGCTGTGTATGGGAAAATGCCTTGAAAGCTGTAAAGTGCTGTCCGTACTAGAAAGCAGATACTTGATGGTACCGAGGATGAAGAAAATCAGCTGGGGGACCCATGGAAACAGTCTTCATGCGGTGAAGATGGGAGAATCCACAAAAAAAGAAGTGCAAATAAAAAATCATTGCTCTTTTGGACTGTAGCCCAATCTTGCAAAAGTACTATTTTTTATTTACGTGGAATTCAAAATATAGCAAGAACTTCAAATACATCATCTTTTCGAGCTGTACAACAATCTTGTGAGGAAGGAATTATTATTCCCATTTTACAGAGGAGGAAACTGAGGTCAGAGAGGATGCCAGACCTACAGAGCATATCAATGGTAGAGAGCCACATAAGCATCCAGGCGCCCTCCTTTCGAGTTCAATGTAAATACGAACAACCCTTTCCCCAGCCACACCGTCCTCAGGAAGACCGAGGAGACAGTAGGGCTGCCCCAGCTCGCGAGGCTCCAACAGCGCTCCTCGCCGCCCCCGGCCCCCACACCTTATTTCAGCATGGTACAGCCCTTTTCTCTTATCGCGAGACTGGAGGCGTAGTGCTTCTGGTTGCCGAGGGAACAGCGTTCCTGGAGGCAGGAGGGCTTTGGACGCGCAGCTTGGTCCCCCTCCAGAGAAGTTGTGGTGGCGGGAAAGACCCCAACCCTTTGGGGGACAGGGGGTGACGCTGAGTATCAGCGGTGCGCTTCTGCGCCCGTCAATGATCTGCCGACTGGCGACTGCCTCCCGGAGTTTCCGCCGGGAAGGTAAGGCACCGCACCTGTTAGGACCCCACCTCTATCGTCCCGCGACCTGACGCGGCGTGAGCGGGGCGGAGTCGCGTGTGGGACCGCAGAGGGGCTGTCAGGAAGAGGAGCTGGGCCAATGAGAGGGCGGGGCGGAGTCGTGTCAGGCTGCTGGGCCTGGAGACTGGCTGTTAGGGCGAAGGGGCAGGGCCAGTAGGGGGCGGGCTCAGCCGGGGTGGGCGGGGCTTGGGAGGGAGCCGGCCTGCCCAATTGGGACAGAGGCGTCTTCCTCTACGGAGACTGTCGCCAGCATTTCCACATTCCTGACCTTAGGACCTTCTATCAGGGAAGATAGAAGGTCCTACTGTCCTGTGCTTTCTTGGACTTTAAGATCTAAAACTTACATTAAAAGGGGCGCCTGGGTGGCCAGTCGTTAAGCGTCTGCCTTCGGCTCGGGTCGTGATCCCAGGGTCTTGGGATCGAGCCCCGCATCGGGCTCCCTGCTCCGCGGGGAGCCTGCTTCTCCCTTTTGTATTCCCTGCTTGTGTTCCCTCTCTCGTTGTGTCTCTTTCTGTCAAAAAAAAATAAATAAATAAAATATTAAAAAAAAACCCTTACATTAAAAATTAATCGCCAGTCATTTGAAATAGACCGTAAATAGCAAAGGATGCGAATAGGTATTTGGGGGGGGGGGGGGAGAAGGTGGCCAGTAAACATTTGGTTGCAGACTCAACTTATCTCGTAATTAAAGAAATGTAAATCAGACTCACAGATATCTTTGACACTTACCAGACTGACAAAGATGGAAAAGCTTTGATGATAACCAGATTGACCCTAGGCCGGAATGGGGAAAGAGGCACTTTGATCACACACTATTGACAGTGTAATTTGGTACAACCTTTTTGGTGGACAATGTGGCGTCCTACCAAAAGTTGAAAGGCAAGTATTCTTTGACTCAGTGTAGTTTATCATCTACGTATATATTTTGTTTAGCATCACTAAACAAAGATTCACACAAAGAGCTTAACTTAAAATTGTGTGTGCCATTTGTGTGTGTTTGTGTTGGGGAGGAGTAGGTAGGTATAAAGGATAAAAGTTTGCATATGCCTAAAAAAAGTGAGATTCCCCAAGTCTATTAACAGTGGTTCTTGGGGTGAGGAAAATTTTGACTTTTTTTTTTTTTTAAAGATTTATTTATGAGAGAGAGAGCATGCATAGGGAGAGAGACAGAGGGAGAGAATCTTCAAGCAGACTCCCGGGAGGGGGAGCCCGACTTGGGGCTCATCCCCTGACCATGAAATCATGACCTGAGCCAAAACCAAGAGTCCAACGCTCAACCGACTAAGGCACCCAGGCACCCTGGAAATTTTGACTTTAAGAAGTTTTACATTCTTCTATATAATTTGACTTTTTGCTTCTCACGGGCAAGTATTTCTTACATAATAAATATATAAAATAAAAAAAACTAACATAAAATAACTTTTAGACATTAAAACCATGAAAATAAATATAATTCCATTTTTTTAAAAGGTTGGCTATTTATTATTACTAAACAGAGGAGGATTCATTTTCTTTCAATTCTTCCTTTCATCCAAAAATACCAGATTATGGCAGCCATGTGTCCCCATTTTGGTTTTAAATGATCTGTGGTGATTGCATTTCTTATAAGCCTGTATGAAAAAGTTTATTTTTTATTTTTATTTTTTAAAGATTTTTATGTATTTGACACAGAGAGAGACAGCATAAGCAGGGGGAGTGGCAGAGGGAGAAGAAGTTTCCCCGCTGAGCAAGGAGCCAGCTGTGGGACTTGATCCCAGGACCCCGGGATCATGACCTGAGCCGAAGGCAGATGCTTAACTGACTGAGCCACCCAGGCACCCCTGAAAAAGTTAAATTAATCTTGTTTGAAATGAATGTTATAAAAAGTTGGTATGTGTTAGTAGTGATTTGTTACAATTTAGAATCTGGTCATATATATCATCTGCTTAATGGAATATCATGAACTAAATAATGTTTTATTTTTGAAATACTTTTAATGCAATAAGAAAATGCTTCATCATGTGATGTTAAGTGAGAAATATATGAGTCCAATTTTGGTGGAAACACACAGAGCAATAATGGATAAGAGATATGCCAAAGAGGGGTGCCTGGGGGGCTCAGTTGGTTAAGTGACTGTCTTCAGCTCAGGTCATGATCCCAGAGTCCGGGGATTGAGCCCCACATCGGGCTCCCTGCTCAGCAGGGAGTCTGCTTCTCCCTCTGCCCTTCACCCCACTCATGCTCTCTCTTTCACTCTCGTTCTCTCTCAAATAAATAAATAAAATCTTAAAAAAATATGCCAATGGTGTTTAGCTCAGCGTGGTAAATATTGGGTGATTTTTATTTATTTTTGAATACACTTTAATATATTCTAGACATTTTCCTACAATAAATAAATAAATTATGAATTCAAGATGTACTTATTAGAAAATCAGAAAATACATATAAGCGAAAGATAAAATAAAAGACCAAGAACAGGGGTGACTCAGTTGGTTAAGCGTCTGCCTTCAGCTCAAGTCATGATCTCAGGGTCATGGGATCAAGCCTTACACTGGGCTCCCTGCTCAGCAGGGAGCCTGCTTCTCTTTCTCCTTCTGCTGCTGCTCCCCCTGCTTGTGTTCTCTCTCTCTCTCTCTCTATATATCAAATAAATAAATAAAATCTTTCAAAAAAAAAAAAAGACCAAGAACATCCATGAACCCACCAATCCAGAAGAACCCACCTCTGTTACTTCTCTGGTTTGTTACCATCTTTCAGGTCCCTTTGTGTATATTTCTTTAATTAGAGAATTGAACTCTTTTTTTTTTTTTTAGCAAGATATCGACATTTAGGATGATATTTTCTTTCTTTTCCTTTTTTTGGATATTTTCTTTCTTTCCTTCTTTCTCCTCTCCCTCCCCCCTTCTTTCTTTCTTTGCCTATGTAGAAAAAAGTAATGGATAAAGGGCATTGAATTAGGATCTTATAGATGTATTTTCAATATTTAAGAAGAACTCTCAATAGCCACATAGAAATTCCACAAGAAAAAACATTGTCAAGGAAAGTAATCAAATGATAATAAAATACTTATAATGACAGAAGCACTAAATGTTAATTTAACTAAATACTATGCCATAACTATATTGAGTGTATGTGGGGAGGAGTGAATTCCTCTGTGTGAATTCCTTGTTTATGCCCTTAGCCAGTTTTCTATTGGAATGTTTCTTTTTCTTACAGATTGGTAAGATTTCCTTAAATATGTAAATTCATTAACCTTTTGTGTATCATATAACCTTTTGTGTTGCATATATTTTCCCTAGTTTCTCAGGTGCCTTTTAGCTTAATTTAGAGTTCTTTGTGTTTGTTTGTTTGTTGACATTCAAGAGCATTAAATGTTATGTGATCAAATCTGTTAGTCTCTTCCTTTTTGATTTATGCTCTTGGTGTTATCTTTAGTAAGTCATTAACTTACTACGTAAATTATTTTTATATTTCCTTTCAGTCCCTTGGAGATTTCTTATTTTACATTTATTTATTATTTTAAAAATTAATTTTTACTTTTATTAAAGTAGTATAATAAAAAATGTCAAACTCTACTATAACATTTACAATAGAAGAAAAGAGAAGCAATTCCTAGTCTCACTCTCCAGAGGCAACCATCCTGAACTTGTAAATATAATGCTTATTTTTTGGCTTTATCAATTTTTGGGCATTCTCTTTGATTTCCTATTAAGACAGATTAGATATTTTATACTACCTCTCCTTTTATGTACTCCTGCCCAGATACACTCAATACAAGTAAGGCGCAGTATTTGGTTAAATCATTTAGTGCTTCTGTCATTATAAGTATTTAATTATCATTTGATTACTTTCTTTGACAATGCTTTATTTTTCTTGTGGAATTTCTATGTGGCTATTGAGATTTCTTCTTAACCATTGAAAATACATCTGTAAGATCCTAATTCAATGCCCTTTATCTATTACTTTTTTCTACATAGGCAAAATCATAAGATTGTCAGTTATATCCCCACCGAGCCTGGGAACTGTATTTTATTTAATTTATTATTTTCAGGAACAAATATAATAGAAGAGACCTATTTCTAAAGCAAATTGAAAGATTTCTGGAGCCTTTTAGATGATCCATGTCATTGACGGTTCTCTGTGCTTCTTCTCCCTTTACTGACAAGTATTATACCAGCTCTGCAAATGCTTCCATCTCATTGCTCCCTCTGTAAGCTATAAGTCTCCCTTGACAGGCTGCTCAGGGCATTTACAAGACTTTTGGCCTTTTGGTGACTTATGCTTTTTGATTGTGACGTGATGGGCCACGGTGATCCGTCATCCCACAATAATAATGTCAGCGCCTTCCTGAGTGAGCCCGAATGCTTTTGCAGAGTTTGAATAATGCTGAGATCAATGCCTTTTTCATTTGCTAAGATGGAAAGAGTTGACCTACTGGTCCCTTAAGCATCAGCTTTGGCACACTGAATGGTTGGAGGCCAAATCATATTATCCCTCTGTGTGCCTTGGAGGGATGTTCGTGCTTCCTCCTGTATCCAAAACTTCCTTGGACTCTGCCTCTGCTTTCAAAAAAAGAAAGAAAGATGAGTCATTTTGTAGGGTAAAAAAAGGACATTGTTTACACTCACTGGGGCCAGAGGCAATTGTTTTTCCTCTTTCTGTTATGAGACAAATGGTTTAATTCATAATTAATAGAAATTTAGAGAAATTATGAAATTTAGGGAAGGATTGTTGGAAGATCCATTTACATGTAAAGCTAAGTATGAGAAGGCAAAATCTGGAATTCTCCCTATTTCTTCCATTTTTCTCAGCATGCATGATACCCGAGCATTACTGAGCAGATCTGGAATAGTCCTGATCTAGGGCACAGTTTGGAAGGATCAAGGTGCCTGCAGTGCCCAAGTTCTCCCACTAGTTTAAACCATCCTGCCTAATAATCCTTGCTTCAGAAAACAGCACTGGGAATAGGGAGCCAGAGGGGTGACAGGCCTGTGGATGGTGTCACACGAAAAATAGGAATTGGCAATTTGGGGCCAGATAGTAAGGGTGTGTCCTCTAGCAGAGAAAGTATGTTTTGTTTTCTTGTTTCTTTCTTTCTTTCTTTTTTTTTTTTTTTAAGATTTTATTTATTTATTTGACAGAGAGCACAAGCAGGGGGAGCAGCAGAGGGAGAGGGAGAAGCAGACTCCCCACTGAGCAGGGAGCCCGATGTGGGGCTCGATCCCAGGACCCTGAGATCATGACCTGAGCTGAAGGCAGACGCTTAACGGACTGAGCCACCCAGGCACCCCTTGTTCTCTTGTTTCTGAGGGTGAAGTAGAATCATGGGTTTTTTTTTTTTTAAAGATTTTATTTTTATTTATTTGGCAGAGAAAGACACAGCGAGAGAGGAAACACAAACGGGGAGTGGGAGAGGGAGAAGCAGACTCCCTGCCGAGCAGGGAGCCCGATGTGGGACTCGATCCCAGGACTCCAGGATCATGACCTGAGCCGAAGGCAGTCGCTTAACCAACTGAGCCACCCAGGCGCCCAGTAAATGTTTCTTTTTGAGGCGCAGGAAGCCCCTGAGATAGCAGTCACTCTGAATTCTTTTTTAACCACTCTCCGAATCTAACATCCTGGTCAGAATGTTTTCCACCTGTAGTGACATAAAATCCCTGGACACAGACGTCTTTTGGTGAAATTAGGATACTGTGACTTTGGTGGCAATATAATCCTTATTTAACAAAGATTCTGGGTTAATTGCGCACTAACTCTAATGACACATGTAAGCATACAGGTCATAACTTGCTTTAATTTCTTGTTTGTTTCAGGATATCAATGGATATTATAAAGGGGAACTTAGATGGAATTTCAAAACCAGCCTCAAATTCAAGAACACGTCCTGGGAGCAGAGGTTCAAATACTTCTTTGGAGGTGCTCTCACCGGAACCAGCATCCTTCAAGGTACTTTTGCTGTTTAGAAATGATTTCAAGTCCTTCTCCTGAACTCTAGCATTTGGTAAACCAAAGCTGTTGTTAATATCCCACTTAAAGGTTCCTCTTTAGAGGGTATGTTCTGGGAGCACTCATAGATTTCTTCTCGGATTTTACTTTAGATCATTTAATATGAAAATTCTGTGTTCTTCTTTACCTCCTTCTCTCCCTCCCTCTTTTGTTTTTGTTTTTGTTTTTGGAGTATGGCTTATTTGTTCACGGTTGTACTTTGCTAATGCTCATTTGTAAATTTTTCTTTTTCATAAAAAATCTTTGTATTCCAATATCTACTATGCCGCCATTGACTCTTAATATGAAAAAGGTTCAGTAATTAAAAAAAAAAAAGTTTGGGTCAAAGACCATGTGGTATATATTTAGTAGGTACCTTACCTGGCCTGACTTCCTTTTCTTTTCTTTAGTAGTCTCTTTTTCTTTTCCTAAATTATCTAAACCTGATGTTTTTTAAGGAATCAGTTGTTTTAAAAATATTAATTTATTTTAGAGAGCGAGAGAGAGAGTGCACTAGCAGGAGGGGCAGAGGATGAAGGAGAGGGAATCTCAAGCAGACTCCCCACTGAGTGTAGGAGCCAGATGCCGGGCTCCATCTCACGACCCTGAGCCGAAACCAAGAGTCAGATGCTTAACCAACTGTGCCATCCAGGTGCCCCAGAAATCAGTTTTTCCGTCAGCGGTATGGGACTATTTGTTTTAAGCTTGTGGCAAACAAAAATTTGAAACCTTATGGTGAAAAAAATCTTTTCAAGTTTATGAATCCATGCTCATTTATTCTTTTGATTTCTGGACTAGAGTCTATATTTAGAGTGTTATGATTTAGTGCAGGAAATAGAAAGCACTCTGGGCATTTCCAGCAGATGGGGATTGAATACCAGAAGTTCAGTTTCTCAGAATCAGTGGACGGCCAGAGGGAAAGGAAATCATGGGAGGGGACTTCCCTTGGATTGTTGGTTCGTAGGTTACATCTCCGTGACCGAAATAAAAAAGCTGCCTTCTACACTGCCACCAGTCCCTCAGAACTACAAAACTGGTGACTAGACATACAGAGATGACTGCCTTTGGTATTTCTTGCCAACTTCCTATCAGGAGCTTGGGAAGATGGCTTCTACTTCATGTCTGCAGGCTAAATCTTGTGCAGATGTGTAACTATAAGTAGCTTGTTAAAATCCCAGGTCTAGCTCAGCTCTCTGTTTTGTTTCATCTAATCCTGCATCATTACTGTGTGTTAACTCTTGTTAGTTGTGTAATAATTTTTGATATCTGGTAGGATGTATCTCCCCATCTTACTCTTTTTCTAGAACCGTCTTCGCTATTCTTGGCTTTTTGTTCTTTCTGTATATTAGATTGGTTTTTCAAGTCTTGTGAAAATTGCTCTTGGGGTTTTGACTGAAATTGCTTTGAATTTATAGGTTAATTTGGAGAGTTTCTAACTTTATGATACTAAATCTTATTTATTAACATTGTATCTCATTGACTTGTTTCTTTTTTCTTTTTTTTGGTGGGCAGCAAAGCAACATTTATTAAGCGATAGTACAGAGCTCCCAAAGAGGGAGGGGACCCAAGAGGGTTGCCCTCATTGACTTGTTTCTAATTTAAAAATATACATACTGTAAAATTACTTTTTTGTTTTTTACTTATCTGTTTTAAAAAAAGATTTTATTTATTTATTTGAGAGAGAACGAGCATGAGTGGGGTGAGGGGCAGAGGGACAAGCAGAATCTCCGCTGAGTGAGGAGCCCAATGTGGGGCTTGATCCCAGGACCCTGAGATCATGACCTAAGCCAAAGTCAGACGCTTAACCAACCAAGCCACCCAGGCATCCCAAAATTTACTCTTTTTAGTGTACAGTTATGAGTTTGGGAAATGTGTAGAGTGATACCATCACAATAAAGATATAGGACAGTTCTATCACCCCTCAAAAATTTCTTCATGCTACCCCTTTGTCCTTATTCAGTCTCTCCTACTTTTTAGTGTTAATTATTATGCATAGTGTATTATTAATTTCAGAGGTACAGTTCAGTGATTCATCAGTTACATATAACACCCAATGCTCATTACATCACGTACCCTCCTTAATGCCCATCACCCTGTTATCCCATCCCCCCACTGACCTCCTCCCCAGCATCCCTCAATTTGTTTTCTATGATTAAGTCTGTTATGGTTTGTCTCCCTCTCTGATTTCATATTATTTTATTTTTCTCTCTCTTCCCCTATGAGCCTGTGTTTTGTTTCTTAAATTCCACATATGAGTGAAATCGTACGATAATTGTCTTTCTCTGACTTACTTTGCTTAGCATAATATCCTCTAGTTCCATCCACGTTGTTGCAAATGGTAAGATTTCATTTTTTGATGGCTGCATAATATTCCACTGTGTGTATGTATGTATGTATGTATATATATATATCACCTGTTCTTTATCCATTCATCTGTTGATGGGCATCTGGGCTCTTTCCATAGTTTGGCTATTTCAATTTCCCCTACTCTTAATCCTGGAAACTCCTGATCTATTCTCTACCTATTGTTTTTCTTTTTCCAGAGAGTCATATGAATAGAATTAAAAAGTATGTAGCTTTTGAGTCTGGCTTTGCCTGTTGGCACAGTGCATTTGAGACTCTGTATTGTTATATATATCAATAGTTCACTCCTTTTTACTGATGAGTGGTGTTCCATTGTGTGGGTGTTCCACAGTTTGTTTATCCATTCACATGTTAAGGAACATTTGGATTGTTTGCAGGTTTTGGTGATTATGAAGAAAGCTGCTATTAATATTTGTATACTGATTTTTTTGGGGGGAAGTAGTTTTTTATTTTTCTTGGGTAAATACCTAGGAGTTGGATTGCTGGGTTGTATGGTAAGTATATGTTTAACTAAAAGAAACTGCAAAACTGTTTTCTGTTCCCATGAGAAATATGAGAGTTCCAGTGCTCTGCATTTTCACCAGCAGTTGATAGTGTTAGTTTTTTTTTTAAAAAAGCTATTCTCAGGGCGCCTGGGTGGCTCAGTCATTAAGCGTCTGCCTTCGGCTCAGCTCACGACCCCAGGGTCCTGGGATTGAGCCCCGCGTCGGGCTCCCTGCTCAGCGGGAAGCCTGCTTTTCCCTCTCCCACTCCCCCTGCTTGTGTTCCCTCTCTCGCTGTCTCTCTCTCCCTGTCAAATAAATAAATAAATAAAATCTTTAAAAAGAAAAGAAAAATTCTCAGCCATTGTTTTTCAAATGTTTCTAATATTGCCTCCTTTTTTTCCCTTGCATCATCCTGAAAGTCATATTAAATGTCTGTTGAAATTTTCCCTTCTATACTTTATGTCTCTTACCTTCTTTTTAATATTTTCTATTCATTTCTTTCTCTGTGCTTTATCCTGGGAATTTTTAACACATATTTTTAAATTTTTGAATTCTTTCTTACACGATGTCAAATCTACTCTTTAATCCATTGAATTTTTATTTTTATTATTTTTTATTTTTTTAAAGATTTTATTTATTTATTTGATATATATGTAGAGAGAACACAAGCAGGGGGAGTGGTAGGCAGAGGGAGAAGGAGGCTCACCGATGAGCAGAGAGCCCGATGTGGGGTTTGATCTCAGGAGCCTGGGATCATGACCTGAATCGAAAACAAATGCCCAACCATCTGAACCCCCCAGGCATCCCTAATCCATCGAATTTTTATTATTTGTTTATTTATTCTTAAAGATTTTATTTATTTGTTTGACAGAGACATAGCGAGAGAGGGAACACAAGCAGGGGGAATGGGAGAGGGAGAAGCAGGCTTCCCGCTGAGCAGGGAGCCCGATGTGGGGCTCAATCCCAGGACCCTGGGATCATGAGCTGAGCCAAAGGCAGACGCTTAACGACTGAGCCACCGAGGTGCCACTCCATCGAATTTTTAAAGTTAATGATACATTTTTAATTTCTGGAAGCTCTTTTTAGTTTATTTCCAAATAAACTAAAGATGGTTGGTGCTAATGGAGTGGGGAGCTATGGGTAAAATTATAAAATGGGCAAAGTTTGCCTTTTATTCTCCAGTTTCATCTTTTTGCTTCATTTCTTCCTGCTCATTCTAAGAGGATCATATGGGATGATATATATGAAAGGTCTTTTTGTGTCCTGAAGTGTGTTATTATCCAAGTATATTGCTAATATCTAGTTATGTTTTATATATTCTGTATTCCCCTATATAAAAACCATTCTCTGGGGAAGGGCGGCCAAATTCATTTATGCCAAGATAGAAATAACCGACAGGGCTCATGTGATCTCTGCCAGCAATTTCAGCATTTTCACAGAACTATATAGCCTAAAGGATTTACTGGGTATCATGGCATAGAAGGCTTTAACCCGGCCTTTCACAGAAGTGTGTTTTTGAACAGGGCATCCTCTTTAACACCTCCAAGATTACACAGAGGAGGCATTGTTTTGCTTGTTTATAGGTTAGGCCTCCACTGGTTTCATTCTACACTGGCTCTGTTTTCTTCTTTGTTAAATCAGCGTAGTCATGTCTATAGCATAGCGTCACTGTGAGCAGGGAATGAGGCAGAGTGTGGAAAGTATTTAGCCCAGGGCCTGCCCGGTATTAATTCCTCAGGAAATGTTGGCTCTGAGGATTATCCCACTGACTCGGCTCAGTTCTGCTGGGGCTTACATCCTAGTCCAGGTGAACAGAGATGCTCACGTGCAGCCCTGTGTCCCTGGAGCTTAATTCTCCACACCAGCCCCTTCTGCCCTGGCGATTCACAAGGGGGCACAGATTACCGTGGCTGAGAGTTGACCACGTGGGTGCAGAGAGAACAGAAAACCCTCCAAAGGCTGGATTCCTCCATTGGGAGGGGAAAGGTGTTCCTCCCAGAAGCGGCTGACTCTCTCTCTCTCTCTGACGTTTTGCCTCTCTCTTGGGCCGAATTCACTTCCACTGTGACTCTCACTGCCACTCGCAGCTGTCAGGGCACTACGATCCCTGTTTCTTTTCCTGATGCAGCCATGGGTGTCTTTTCTTGTTCTCTCAGGAAAACACAGCTGCCCCCAACTGCTGTTTTCAAAATGAGCCTTGCTAAAATAGAAAAAGAAACCAAAATGAAATAGAAAAACTGTGAATAGCATAAAAATAATCACCAAAGCACAGGGTTCTGACTTGAAGAATCTCATTAGAAACACATCTCTGTTCAGACTCTTGGCTTTTCAACTCTTCAATAGCCACACATGGCTAGTGGCCCTCGAATGGGACAGCATAGCTCTAGACCTCTGACTCTCCATCCGAGTGTAAGCTCAGGGAGCAGGCACCATCATGCCTCATCTCCAGAGCTGGCAGACAATGGTTCCTTTTGGGACTGATTCCTGACCCTTCTCCACATTGCTGGAAATTGCTGGAGAATGGGGCATATCTCTTTGGTGCAAATGTTACTAAATTTAGTTGTGTAGTTAAATTATATTCAATTAAAAAGTGTTCTATTTCTAGACTAGTTGAACACTAATGTAAGTATGTGAGGACACACATACACTGCTGTTCAACTAGTCTAGAAATGTAAAGTTTTAAAGAATATATTATTGGGGCACCTGGGTGGCTCAGATGGTTAAGCGTCTGCCTTCGGCTCAGGTTGTGGTTCCAGGGTGCTGGGATCGAGCCCCACGTCCGGCTCCCTGCTCAGCGGGGAGCCTGCTTCTCCCTCTGCTTCTCCCCCTGCTCGTGTGCTCTCTCTCTCTGTGTCTCGAATGAATAAATAAAATCTTTAAAAAAAATAAAGAATATACTAGTTATGAAAACTATTTCTTTGGAAATAATTTAGGTTGATGCTGCAATCAAATTGAACTCTGGTAAAGAGAACTACTCAGACAGCAGTAATGCAGAGGAAAGTAGAAACGATGATGATAAAGGGGAAAAGGATTCTGAGAAACCAAAATTGGCGGAGGATGGATCAGATGAAGATCTGAACTTCATTCACCATCAGACAATCCCTGAATGTTCAGGTAGGATAATCACTAGGTGATTGGTTAATGACAATGACAGATATTATAGTTAAAATATTAGAGTTACATGTGTTTTTTATCTGCTATGTAGAAATAATAGTTAAGAGGCATACCTTTGTGAGCACCGTTCTTTATTTACAATAATGTTGAGTCCTTAAAAACACTTAAAAAATAGTGAAATATGTCATTTAATAAAATTGTTATTGTGGGGGCGCCTGGGTGGCTCAGTCGTTAAGCGTCTGCCTTCGGCTCAGGTCATGATCCCAGGGTCCTGGGATCGAGCCCCGCATCGGGCTCCCTGCTCCGTGGGAAGCCTGCTTCTCCCTCTCCCACTCCCCCTGCTTGTGTTCCCTCTCTCGCTGTGTCTCTCTCTGTCAAAATAAATAAATAAAATCTTAAAAAAAAAATTGTTATTGTGGTCATTTTACGTTAATCAAGTAGGAAGTATTTCTGCATTTTATGACATGATTTATCAATCTTTTTGATGACTAAATTATGCAATAAAATGTATTATGTAATTTATAAATGGCTTCTTAGGGATAATCCCATTTGATCTTTTCTTTTTTTTTAAAGATTGTTTTTTTTTTTTTAATTTTTATTTGACAGGGAGAGAGACAGCAAGAGAGGGAACACAAGCAGGGGGAGTGGGAGAGGGAAAAGCAGGCTTCCCACGGAACAGGGAGCCCGATGCAGGGCTTGATCCCAGGACCCTGGGATCATGACCTGAGCTGAAGGCAGACGCTTAACGACTGAGCCACCCAGGCGCCCTAACTGGCCACTTTTTAATGGGACGCCATTCTTACGCGAAAGAATGACTGACAGACAAACTATTATCATTCAGACTTGGGTATTTGGCAGCCATTTTTTTTTTTTTTTAAGGTGAAATGAGGCTTTTACTTCAAGGAAAATAATTGACAGTATCTTTTGTCAACGATAAAATTTGGGCTTTCAAGTGAAAACTAGAAATTTGGAAAACTTGTGTATGCCATTCCAATACTTAGACTTTTCTGGTAAAATTTGATGACAGAACTAACCAATGAGATTTTTTAAAATATTAAATATTAAATGTGTTAACATTTTGGAGGTCTGCATAATTCAAGGAACCACTATTTTCCAAATGACCAGTGCAGGGTAAAAGATCCATTTAGCATGAAAGATAGATGCATGGGTTTTAATAGAACAAATACAAAAAGCTCACTGATATGGTCACAGATTTCTCATTACAACTACTCTTTAAGAAACTACCCCTTGTCGAATTTTGATGTAGTATCAAAGAAGAGTATCCACAATTATCTGAGAAAGTTATTACATTTCTCCTCCCCTTTCCAAGTATATGTCTTTATGAGGCCAAATTTTCTTCAATTACTCTAAGTGAAACAAGAGATTGCAATAGATTGTACAAACAGATTTGAGAATCTAGATGCCTTTTTTTTTTTTTGAGAATCTAGATGTCTTCTATCAAGCTAGATATTAAAAATTTAAAACAATGCCATTCTTAATAATTTTTTAGAGTATATAGTTATTTGTCATAAAAATGTTGTATTTATGTTAATATGTAATTACTAGTAACATCATTTTTAAATGAATAAATATTTTTTTCAGTTTTGATTTCTAAAATGGTAATTATCAATAGATGTAACATAAACAAAAGCTACTTTGGGTTCTCAATAATTTTTAAGGCTATAAAGGGAAGCTGAGGTCATAAACTTTGAGAACTGCTGACTTAGAGTATGTCTGGGATGAGGTTAGCTCTCAAAGTTGGGCCCAGGAGCCTCAGGATCACAGTTATCAGGAAATGAGGCATTATAGTTGAGATTAGCTGTTGGCCCAGTTTATTTTTATTTTTATTTTTTTTTAAGATTTTATTTATTTGACAGAGAGAGCACAAGCAGAGGGAGAGAGGGGGAGAAGCAGGCTCCCTGCTGAGCAAGGAGCCTGATGTGGGACTCGATCCTGGGACCCCGGGATTATGACCCGGGCTGAAGGCAGCTGCTTAACCGACTGAGCCACCCAGGCGTCCCTGCTGTTGGCCCAGTTTAAAGATTTAATTTATTTTATTTATTTGAGAGAGAGAGAGAGAGAGAGTGCATGTGTGGGCATAAGTGGGGGAGCAGCAGAGGGAGAGGGACAAGCAGACTCCATGCTGAGCGTGGAGCCCAGCTCCCAGATTTGATCTCATGATCCTGAGATCATGACCCAAGTCAAAATCAAGACTCAGACGTCCAACCCACTGAACCACCCCAGGCACCCTGCTGTTGGCCCAGTTTATGCTGTACTTGTTTATACTGTTTCAAAACTGCCTGAGTTCCTTCATGCATGAGTTCCTGCCATATAGACCACCTATGTATATGGAGGCTGAGAGTGTTAGGATTGGCAGTGAGGAACTAGAACTAAAGGCTGTTGCATTTGAAATAAATAGGCAATAAGGTTTGCAGAGCCTCCTTATTAATAAGATCAGTATTCTTTTTGGATAAGCTAATTCCCTTCTGGAAATGTCTCCTTTTCCTTAAAGAGAAAGTGATATACATTATAGAGAAACACACTGCACTCTCTGGATTTTAAAAAGTTGCAAAATTTGCGAACCATGAGAGACGATGGACTCTGAAAAACAAACAGGGTTCTGGGGGTGGGGTGGGAGGATGGGTTAGCCTGGTGGTGGGTATTGAGGAGGGCACATTCTGCATGGAGCACTGGGTGTTGTGCACAAACAATGAATCATGGAACACTTCATCTAAAACTAATGATGTAATGTATGGGGATTAACATAAGAATAAAAAAAAATAATAAAAAAAAAGTTGCAAAATTTGGTCTTTCTTAACAGAATATGCCATTTCTAATGATCTAACCTGGAGTGGCTGAGACTCCAGGTTAGATCATTAGTATATGAGCATTTATGCTCATTGACAGATTATCATCTTTCATAGCCAAGATATGGAAGCAACTCAAGTGTCCATTGATAGATAAATGGTTAAAGAAGATGTGGTATATATTCACACACACACACACAATGGAATATTAGGCAGCCATAATAAGATGAAATCTTGTCATTTGTGACAATATGGATGGACCTAAAAGGTATTATGCTAATTGAAATAAGTCAGATTGAGAAAGACAAATACCATATGATTTTACTTATATGTGGAATCTAAAAAACAAAAATGAATAAACAAACAAAAAAGCAGAATCAGACCTATAAATAAAGAGAAAAAAGTGATAGTTGTCAGAAAGAAAAGGGTATGGGGGATGGGCAAAATGGGTGAAGGGGAGTGGGAAATATAGGCTTCCAGTTATGGAATTAATAAGTCATGGGAATAAAGGGCACAGCATAGGGAATACAGTCAATGGTATTGTTTTATTTTTTTTCCAGTCGATGGCATTGTAATAGCATTATATGGTGACAGATGGTAGCTATACTTTTGGTGAACATACGGCATGTTATAGAGTTTTAAATCACCATGTTGTACACCTGAAACTAATGTAACAGTGTGTGTCAATTATGCTTAAATTAAAAAATTTTTAAAAAGGGAAAAAAAGAAAAGACCCAGTTATTTCAACTGTAAAACAGAGATAAATGTCTATTTCACAGGGTTGTTAGATAATTATATGAAAAAATACATGTGGAAGCACTTTGTAAATCAAGATACATGACACCAATGTTAGTTATTCTCGTGAGCCATAAACATTTGTTGAATGAAAGAACAAATGGTAAACACAAAACAAAACTTTATGGTTGTACTAAACTTCAAGCTCATTCCTACTTTCAACACAATATAGATGAACCCGAATTAAAAGAATTAGATTCTCAACTTCAAGATGCCATTCAGAAGATGAAGAGGCTTGATAAGATATTGGTGAAGAGACAATATAGAGAAAAAGAAATTAAGAAGCAAGGTCTAGACATGAGAATAAAGCTGTGGGAAGAACTTAAGGTAAGAATTGTTTAACCATATGCTGACAAGGAAGAAACAGTTTCCTTTAAGATAAATAAGAAAAGCATGGACTGTGGTCGTATCAGTGTGGTCTGCCTTTATTGATTTATTTTGTGGAAGTAGGACAGTGGTGTGTGTATGTCCATATTGAGGGGGTGGGCGAGGGAGATAGTTCTCTGGAACTGGACAAGGTAACTTAGCAGCATTCCAGATTTCAGGCGCTGCATTGGCCTGTTTGTTTTCCATGACAGCACAGTAGACCTCTCTTCCCAGTGTCAGGCTGGGGTTCCTCCATCTCTGGAACAGAAAGTGATGTGGTGCCTATGTTCGAGTACGTATGTCTGCTTTTTCTTCAGCAAGCTTATAGTTTGGAGATAAATACATAACTATACCAAACATTTAACCCTCTGATGACCATTATTATTTGAGTAAACTTTTGTGACCAGGGAGTGGAGAGTTCACTGTTTCATATGCTGGTCATATGCTGATCTCTGAGACGCTGTAAAGTGCTTGTGGTCTGTGACCATACTCTATTTGCTTCTGTCTCAATACATTTCTAGTGCTCTGTTAATGTTGCTTGGCCTTCTTGGACCTTTTATTCTCTGTAGTATTGAGGGGTGGAAGTTGACCAGATGTTTGCGCTGACTTGATGTATGGCCATTGGCTCATATTTGAACCTTGCCCCTTAAAGGAGAGCACTTTTAAAGTAAGGAGTATTGTAAAAACAGATTGGTTGTTTTTGATAAATTCCTCCTTGATCAGTTGACTGACTTCAAGGAAATTTCCTAGACGATGATATGAATTAATAATGAAGTAATTAAGAATACATTTTTTTTTTTAAGATTTTATTTATTTGACAGAGAGAGACACAGCGAAAGAGGGAACACAGCAGGGGGAGTGGAGAGGGAGAAGCAGGCTTCCCGCGGAGCAGGGAGCCCGATGCGGGACTCGATCCCAGGACTCTGGGATCGTGAGCTGAGCTGAAGGCAGTCGCTTAACCAACTGAGCCACCCAGGCGCCCTTAAGAATACATTTTTACAAGATTCCCAGGCAGACCACGGGCTAGAAAGAAAGCACCATACAAAACGCAGTGCTTTAAACTAGAGAAATGATTTGTGTATATTTTAGCAGACAAAATTAGTCTATCATTTACTCTTATTGAATCTCAAAGCAAATTTTTACTTGTTTAGAAACAAGAATGATAACTGGAGGGGCACCTGGGTGGCTCAGTCGTTAGGCGTCTGCCTTCGGCTCAGGTCATGATCCCAGGGTCCTGGGATCGAGCCCTGCATTGGGCTCCCGGATCAGCAGGAGGCCTGCTTCTCCCTCTCCCACTCCCCCTGCTTGTGTTCCCTCTCTCGCTTTGTCTCTCTCTGTCAAGTAAATAGATAAAAATCTTAAAAAAAAAAAAAAAAAGAATGATAACTGGACCCATAATAAAATACAGCATCAATCTTGAAATGTCTGAAACTGTAATTTGATGATGTACCTTTAGGTTACTCATTAGTTATAGAAATATTAAACAGAAGCTAAAGAAGATTTAAGCAAGATAATTATTATGTAATGATAAACATATATTCTAACTCTATTTGGGAATATTATTTGCTAGAATTTTGTGGGAACAAGAACACTAATAGATTTCCCAATTAAAGAAGTACAATGACCTGAACCTTCTTGTTTGTATGTACACAGTTTGGAATCCATGGAATTTTAAAAAATATTGATGAGTATAGTTGCCTTCTTTTTCCATGTTTAAACTTGTTTCTCTTTTATTAGTCTGCAAAAACTAGTGAAACTTTGCAAAGTAATGAGGAGATGGAAAATACAAAAAAGTTTCTAGCTTTGACTGCTGCATCAGAAGAAACTATCGGTGAGTAAAATTTGTCTTTTTTTTTTTTTTTTTAAAGATTTTATTTATTTATTTGAGAGAGAGAGAATGAGAGACAGAGAGCATGAGAGGGAAGAGGGTCAGAGGGAGAAGCAGACTCCCTGCCGAGCAGGGAGCCCGATGTGGGACTCGATCCTGGGATTCCAGGATCATGACCTGAGCCGAAGGCAGTCGCTTAACCAACTGAGCCACCCAGGCGCCCAAAATTTGTCTTTGTTTTTATCTCATAGATTATTTGGATTAAAAAAAGATTCCCAGTTCAGCTATTTTTCCTTTTTCTTTGAGCCTAATTGTTCTTTAGGGGAAATGATTACATTAGGTAGGGTTATATGGAACTATCCTGAGTGTAGATAAGTTTCAGAGGTTTCTAGGGTTTATGTCTGCTCAAGGGTGTGGGGGCAGGGCAGTGTAAAATTGGCAAAAAGACAAAGTGTCTTTGCCTTTACTTCTTGTCTTCTTAGATACCTCTAGACACCCAGTCGATGTAGACAGTCTCCTAACTGCCTAGAATCCTTCCATGGAGGGTCCCACTCAGGCTTCTGCAATCCCTTTGATAAAAATCTGATTTGTCCTATTTCCTGTTCTCTTCTAGTATTGCTTTTGAGACCAGCCAATTAATTGTGCGTATTTTTACATTCTCACCTTGTGTTTATGTATATCTATGATCCTTCTTTTCATCCTCCTCCTCCTTTATCTTCTCTTCCTCCTTCTTCATCTATAGAGGTATTATGGAGTCATGTAATCTTGAGCTTACTTATACAGTGGTGAAAATTTTAGGGATTGGGAAGCAGTTGATAAGTTTTGGCAGGACACTTTGGAAATCCTTTAACTTACATCACGTAAGTGGTTCTCCAGTACTGCTCGGGGCTAACACTGACTCTGAGCAAGGGCCTCTGATTTCTCTGAGAATCCTCGGATCCATCTGTCTTTTGCAAAGTGAATGTCCAACATTGTAGAAGCCCGAGAACCTGACTTAGACTTCTGCAGCTGTTTAGCATGAGCTTTGATATGAATGAAATTCCTTCAGGTTTGTTTCTCTCTGGACCCAGCATTGAGAGCCCAGAAGCTGCTCGGGCCTGAGGGATTTGGGGTTGGAATACACCAAATGTTTCTCCCCAAGAAGGTGGGTGCCTATCTGGGTTGCCCTTTCTATGACTAAGGATTTTTTTTTTTTTAAATGAGTCTGTCTGAGTTTCTCTTTGTAGATCTGTATTTAGATTGGCCTTGTTGAAATTTACCATTTGTATATCCTAATTAAAACACCAAAAACTATTTGCCTGTTAAAATCATAGATCATTCACTTTCTACTTCTGTTTTGTTATAGAAGTAACACATATGTAATCTTTATTAGAAAATATTGGCAAACAGGAAGAAAAAAAATAATCACCTAAATTCTTAACTTGCCGAGAGAATCATTATTAATATTTTTGCTTACTCTTTATCTTTTGAGACATTTTTAGTGCAAATAACCACATATATTTTAAAAATAAAAACTAGATCAAATTATATATATGGTGTTTTGTAATCGGCTTTCTAATTTGTATCTCATGAGCACCTTTAGCTGTCAGTAAGAATAGAGCTCTGCGGTAGTTAGCTTCCAAGATGTTTGCAATCAGTTCCTTCCCTCTATGTATGCTCATTCCAGTCCTCATAGAGGGATGGAGTCTATGTCTTCCTGTATTTTCAGGCTGGGCTGGGCTGGCCTACTTTGACCAATAGATTACGGCAGAAGTAATCCTACACCAGTTCCAGCCCTAGCCATTAAGAGGACTGGCAGTTTCTGTTTCTCTTCTTAGAAGGCTCATTCAGGGGAGAGCCAGCCATCCTGTAAAGGGTCAGAGCATGAATGGGGGGGTTGGGTGGGGGGGGAGGCAGAGGGAGAGGGAGAAGCAGACTCCCCACTGAGCAGGGAACCCAACGTGGGGCTCCATCCCAGGACCCTGGGATCATGACCTGAGCCAAAGGCAGATGCTAACCGACTGAGCCACCCAGGCACCCCAACAGTGGATTTAATAGTCGTTTTAAAGCTTTACTTATTTAAAATGAAATCACAATTTGAATCTCTGTGGTAATTAAGGAGGTTGAATATTTATTCTTTTAGCCATTTTGGGAATTACTTGTTCTTTTATAAAATGAGGTGCTCCTTTTTATTGATTTGAAGGACTACTTTACATATTAAGGATAGTAATTCTTTGACTATTATAAATACCAAAAACATTTTTTCTAACTTATTATTTTTAGTTTTATAGTATTTCTTGTTCTCCCAAACTTAATGTATATTTTTTAAGATTTTATTTATTTATTTGTCAGAGAGACACAGAGAGAGAGCACGAGCAGGGGGAGTAGCAGGCAGAGGGAGAAGTAATGTCCCCCTGAGCAAGGAGCCAGATGTGGGACTCGATCCTAGGACCCTGGGATCATGACCTGAGCCAAAGGCAGACGCTTAACTGACTGAGCCACCCAGGCATCCCAATATTTTTTTTTTATTTAGCTAAATCAGTCATTTCATTTCTTTTTTCATTGTTGCTCTGCTTAAAAAGGTCTTTTCCAATACAAGATGACATAAAAATGTACCTGTGTTGGGTGCCTGGGTGGCTCAGTTGGTTAAGTATCTGCCTTCAGCTCAGATCATGATCCTCGATCCCATGATTGAGTCCCACATTAGGCTCCCTGCTCAGCGGGGAGTGTGCTTCCCCCTCTACCCCTCCCCTGGCTTGTGCTCTCTCTCGCTCACTCTCTAAAGTAAATAAAATCTTTTTTAAAAAATGTACCTGTGTTTTCCTTTAGTATAGTTATTTTTTATGAAAAAAATTAAAATGTTAATCTGCTTAGAACTCATTTTGTTGTGATACATGAAGTAGAGAGTTGATTTGGTGGGTTTTTTCCCCCAATTTGTTAGCTAGCATCAAAAGATCATAAATAACAGAAATAAAATCAATGAATCACCAAAATAGTAATTAGTAAAAGTTTATTGTGCACACATCAAAAAGGCAGCTTGCAAACTGGGAACACTAAAGCCAAAACATGGAATGAGGCTCAGGGGTAATGTTTACTTCATATCAATTTTTGAAAACACTTGAGGTTTTGCTTATGATTTCCAGAGACGTAAGCAAGAGATGACCCAGGTCAAGTTAGCCTTGCAAAATAAGTTAAATTAGGGTTTGTTTGTATGACTAAACTGGTTTTGTCTGCTCAGATAATTTTTAAGGCTTGTCTCCATTTGTTTTTTAAATTAAATTAAATTAAATTAATAAAATTTTATTTATTTGACAGAGTGAAAGAGTACAAGCAGGGGAGAAGCAGAGGGAGAGGGAGAATCAGGCTCCCTGCTGAGCAGGGAGCCCAGTGCAGGGCTCAATTCCAGGACCCTGGGATCATGACCTGAGCCAAAGGCAGACTCTTAACCCACTGAGCTACCCAGGCAACCCTTTTTTTTTAAATTTGAGAGAGAGAGAGAAAGGGAGAGTGAGCAAGCATGGGCACGAGCAGGGGCAGGGGGAGAGGGAGAGAGAGAATCTCAAGCAGACTCCCCACTGAGTGTGGAGCCTGATGTAGGGCTCCATCCCAGGATGCTGAGATCATGACCTCAGCTGAAATCAAGAGTTGGCTACTTAACCGACTGAGCACCAAGGTGCCCCAGTCTCCATTTGTTTTTGATATTAACACTAGTTATCTCAGGACCTTTTATTGGATAATCATCATTTCCTCACTTATTTGAAATGTTAACTTTATCATGCACTGATTGGGTCTCTTTCCAAATTTTCTATTCTCTTCCGTTAATATTTCTGCCTGCACATTTTATTAGGGCAGGTATATTGTCTTTTTCAAAAGGTTTTTTGGAATAACGTGTTTTTCTCAAGCCTATTTTTTCTCTTTGAGAGTTGTTTAGCAGGGAGTCCATTATTTAAGAAAAAAGACCGCAAAGCACCTTGAAACTTACAGCTTATAGAATGCTATTTTACTAACTTAAATGTCTGAAGGCTGCTGTATGAAGATAATCTGTCTTGAAAAGTACGATTTCTTATATTTTCTTTCATGTCTGTCGGTAATTCTGTATCTTCATAGAACTAAGACTGCATTCGTTTTTCCAAATAAAGAACATGGACAGTGTCAGGAATATAATTCTGGATATGACAGTATCTGAGCCTCTGTATTTCAGGAAGCTGGGGCTAAATGTTGATTTCTCTAATGGATGATGCGTTTCTAAGAAGCCGTACCTACCTCCTGTGGTTGACTCTGGAGCAGGGGATCCATGACTTTGAGACAGGGGATCCATGGTGGCTTTTTGACATTAACCTTTTCAGGCATAGAGTTCACTACCGAATGAACTTTTGGCCCTGCAGGGCAAGACTTTTGTTTTCAGTTGTCTTTTCTTCAAAATCAAACCAGAACTATCAAATACACTTTACTTCTATTTTTTTAAGATTTTATTTATTTACTTGACAGAGAGAGGGAACACAAGCAGCAGGAGCTGGAGAGGGAGAAGCTGGCTTCCCATGGAGCAGGGAGCCCGATGCAGGGCTCAATCCCAGGACCCTGGGATCATGACCTGAGCCGAAGGCAGACGCTTAACGGCTGAGCCACCCAGGCGCCCCTACACTTCCCTTTTAAAGCTCATGCCATGTTTATTTGGCTTAAACCTGTCGAGCTCCCTGTTGTAGCTTTGGAGTCACGCGACTACTATAAGCCCTGCAGACATTTGCAGTAATGTTAGATTAGCACTAATGTTCTAACGTGGAAATCAGTTGGGCTTCATGAGCTGAAAGCTGGAGTTACCAGGGACTCGAAACCTATGTTCAGGGAGAACCACCGGTTTAAATATGATCATGTTAGAGTTTCAATTTTTGGATTTTGAATTCTTAGTCAATTATTATGTATTGGCAGTGTTTATTGTGCTCAGAGCAGATAAGATGTAAAAGTAGGGTCAATGGAAAAGGAATGGGAATAATAGATACTGTTAGGTGAACCAGATGTCTGTTGCT